CATCTACATCTGGATGAGCTGACACTGCCTCGAGGGAGGTCTGGTCAGGCCAATGTCATCTTCACGGTGCRGTGATTTGGGAGGAGGCAACAGGACATGCAGGGCGGGAGCTGGGAAYGGAAGGGGAAAACGGGATGTGCCAGAATGGAGTGTCTCACTACAAAATCCCCCTGGGCAGAGGGGGCTGYGTGGGGATAGAGCTGACCCCAAGGTTGAAGATCATCACCAGCAGAGAGTAGCCACCACAAGGGGATGGTGGCYACAAGCAAGGAGTGGTGACTATCACTGGAGGAGGGTTGTTGTCACCGATCGAGAGTGACCATCACTAATGAAGGGTGGCCAGCACCACTCCAGGATGGCTGTCATTAGTCATGGATGGCCATCTCCAGTGGATGGTGGCCATCACCTCCARTCCCCTCCTGGCACAGGTCTAGTGACCCCCATGCCACCTACTCATACCCATCTCTGGGTGTCATTTCCCAGGCAAACCCCCTTCCCAGCCCTTCCTCCTGTCCTGGCTGGTGGCCTTGGTAGCTTTCAGGGTCATACAGGGTTGTGGGAGCAAGGGAAGAGCCGGAGCAGTGTGTCAGTGACACGTGAGGACACTAAAATTAGGCAGCTCCAGCTAATCTAATTTAATCTCCCCTTTTCCGTCCATTCCATGGAGATTAACCTGGCGAGTTGGGTGGGAAGCCAGGCTATGGGAGCTGGGGCGGCCCAGCCCAGGGGCATCCAATCTGACCCCCAGGGAATCCCTCTGGCTGTTTTGGGGARGGGWGGCTGTGGAGGGTGACAAACCCAARCTRGGGGTTTGGGGTGGGCTAGAAATTGGTCTGGCATTATGACATCTGCAGAGGAGAAGCAGTAGGATGGACAGGTAGATGGATGGATTCCCACCACCCCCAACGTGGGCAGGGGCACAATCCTCCTCTCCCTCTCCCTTCATGGAGCAGTTTGGGATGGGTGAGTGCCCTCCCTCTCCGCAGAGCCAGGGAAAGGCTGTTTCACCCAGCTCAGCCCAAGGTCACGCGCTCATCCTGTGGCTGCCGAAGAAAGAAAAGTTCTCCGACCGGTTTTCTATTCCCGGCCCCGTGTAAGGGCTGGGTCCAGCCAAGTTCCAGGTTTCCGGTGCTTTGGGTGACAGGGCAAAGTCAATAACTGGTCACCGGTGTCATCCTGATGCCGATGGGTTCGTGGGGATGTGTGTGTCTGTGTCCGTGTCCAATGAAACCTCRTTGAAAACTATGTAGAGCAACGCTGGAGCGATGAATCATGGGGCAGGTGATCCAGATGAGTTCATGACTCTCCTGGAGTGGCTCCAGCCCCAAGATCATCCTAGCTGCTCTGTGCTTGGATGGTCGAGTTCCAAATTCCTCTATCCCCACCTGTGCCTCAGTTTCCCTGGTATAAAAGTGGGATATGACCCTCACTGGGTTCCCAATGGTCTCCTGGGAGTCCCCAAAAGCAGCAGTGTTCCAGGGGGTCTTTGCCTGTGCTGAGGGTCAGTTTGGTCCCAGGGCTCCAGGATGCTCCATCCCTGCTCTGGCTGCTGGGCACAGCTCTTCCTTGGGCTCTGACATTGTTATTACTGCATCACTCGTCCTTAAGGAATCACATTAGAGAAATTAGAGCCGGTTGTAACTCCAATCCCTACAATCAGCTGCTTCCTTTTCCTACGGAACCTGGCATTAAATGCTGATAGATTATTAAAAGCCCACGTGGAGCCGGGAAGCAGCTGGGATGCCTTGAAAAGATTTCCATTGGGAGATTTATTCCATGAAAGGACTTCCAAGAAACCAATTGAAAAAGCTCAAATTAAAAAAAAAAATACTTTATTTAGAGGAGCTGGTTGAGCAGAGTCCAGCTCTTCCTGACTTTTCCCGACGAGGGTGTTATCTGGCAAATCAATGGAGTCTTGGGAAATATATTCCCTGAATAAACTGATTTTGTGGGACAGAAGGATGAGACAGGTCCCTCATTTTGCACAGACAGTCGCTTCCTTCATCCAGCCAGGCCGGCGGCAGATGGGGAAGGCGGACAGATGTGTCCAGCTATTTTTAGGCTCAAACGCTGCTTTAATTTCCACTCAACCACAGAGAATTTGGCTTTTTAGGGTAAAAAAAAAAAAAACACTGGATGAGAGGGTAAATTGAAATGTAGGGGCAGCGACAGAGATTAATGGAATATCCTGAGTTGGAAGAGCTCCACAAGGATCATTGAGTCCAAATCCTAAAATGCATCAGGTCACGGTCCAAGGATTTGACCAAAATGCTTGACAGATTCACCGTGGGTCCAGCAAGACTGGATCCTCCAGGAAAAGGTGTCTGGTAGCAGGATTGTCTTGGCTCTGGTTTGGGCTGCTTCTCCCCCTCTTTCCTTTGAAATGGAGTCACAAGTCCTCGAACAAAAAAYACCAAAATGATGTAAATGGCCTTGTAGAAAGGACTCTTGAGAGGGTGAAGGCAAGAAGAGCCGGAGCTGCTCCGAACTGGTTGGGAAAGCGGCGGGAGCAGGCAGACGGGTTGGGTAACTCCTGCCCCAGGGCTGCTGGGACCGGCTCTGCTGGGAGGGGGAAGCGGGAGCCGCTCCGGAGGGCCAGGACGTGCCGTGGCCCTCGTAGGGCTCTGGGCTACCAACACCTGGCTGCAGCGTGCGGACTCCCAGACGGAGCCGGGATGGAGGCGAGGAGAAAGGCGGGATGGTGGAGGCACATCCCAGCCCCACTGCCGCTTCCAAACGATGCTTCCCAAGGTTTTCGGGGTGCAGCGGGCACCCACTGCGGTCCGTGGCTGCGCACGGGGAGCGGGACACGCGGGCGTCGCAGCGAGCGCCACGGGCCGMGGGCTGATGGATGCGACCTGACGGGTGCACAGGGCCGCGCACGTTCACACACATGTGACAGCAGCCGGGCACACCGGGGCGGGGAGCGGCGGCTGCGTGCGCGGACACACACACGGGCTGCGGGCACGGACACACACACGGACTGCGGGCACGGACACGGACACACACACGGGCTGCGGGCACGGACACACACACGGGCTGCGGGCACTGACACACACACGGACTGCGGGCACTGACACGCACACGGACTGCGGGCACGGACACGCGAGCTGCGGCACACGCATGGTGCACCCCCAAACACAGCCCCCCGGTAGATTCCACTGAGCACCCTCCCTGCACCCCCAGTACACCCCGATGGACCCTCCTCCCAGTGCACCCCAACCCCTCATTGCACCTCCGCGTGCACCCCCAACCCTCCCAATGCACCCCTGATGCATCCCCCAGTACAACACCAACCTTCAGTAGCCCCCAATGCCCCTGCAATGTAACACCCAGGGCACCCCCAGCCCCCCCAATGCACCCCCCATGCACCTTCCCAGTACAAACCAGTGCATGACCTCCAGTACACCCTAATTCATCCCTCGGTGCRACCCCAACCCCCCTAATGCACCCCCGATGCACACCCCTGTACCCCTCGATGCACCCCCCCAGTGCATCCCCAGCCACACTAGTGCATGCCCAGTGCCCGCCCCCACAGTGCACTGCCAGCCCCCTGTACACCCCCGTGCACCCCCAGTCCCTTCAGTGCATCCCCAATTCCCAGTGCACCCTCACTGCACCCCCAGTCCACCCTCCCAGCACCCTGCAGTTCAGCCCTCCAGTGCCCCGTCAGCTCCCCACTGCAACCTCCGTGCCCTCCTCAGCGCACTCACAGCCCCCGGTGCACCCCCAATATACCCCCACTTTGTGCAGACCCCTTTGTATAACCCAGCCCCCCCCAGTGTCCCCAATGCACCTCCCAGCTGCACCCTCAGTGCCCACCCCAGYGCACTCCCAGCCCCGGCAGTGCTCCCTTTGCGTCCTCCCAGTGCACCCCCAGACCCGTCACTGCACCCCCAAAGCACCCCTCCCCTGCACCCCCAGCACATCCAGTGCCCCCTATATACTGCCCACTGCAGCTCCAGCGCCCATCCGAGTGCATTCCCGGCCCCCCCGAGCATCCCCAGCCCACCATCGCACTCTCACTGCCTTCTCCACTGCACTSCCATCCCCTCAGTGCCCACCCAGCACATCCCCAGCCTTCTCAGTACCAGCCCAGTGCACACCTCCAGTGCATGCCYCCATCTCCCCAGTGCACCCCCAATACACCTACCCAGCGCATGCCCAGCCCCGCAATGCCAACCCCAATACACCCTCCCACATTCACCCAATGCAGTCCCCGACTGCGCTCCCACCCCGGCAATGCAAGCCCCGGTGCAAGCTGCGGTCCTTCCAGTACCCCCCYAATCGTCCCCAATACACCTTCCCACTGCACACCCGGGCTCCCAGTGCCCCCCTCAAAACACCCTCGCAGAGCACCCTCGCACCTCTCACTGCACCCTCAGTGCCCAGCCCAGCGCACCCCCTGACCCTGCACTGCACCCCCAGTCCCCAATGCCCAGCCCAGCGCACCCACTAACCCTGCAGTGAACCCCCAGCCCCCAATGCCCAGCCCAGCGCACCCACTGACCCTGCACTGCACCCCCAGTTCCCAATGCCCAGCCCAGCGCACCCCCTGACCCTGCACTGCACCCCCAGCCCCCAATGCCCAGCCCAGCGCACCCCCTGACCCTGCACTGAACCCCCAGCCCTCAGTGCCCAGCCCAGCGCAGCCACTGACCCTGCAGTGAACCCCCAGCTCTCAGTGCCCAGCCCAGCCCTTCCCCAGTTCACCCCTCCAGTGCACCCCCGGACCTCTCACTGCACCGCCACTGCAACCCCATTTCCCCAATGCACCGTCCAGTGCCCCCCCAGCGCTCTTTCAGCCCTCCCCGATGCATTCCCAGCGCATTCCCAGCCCCCCCGGTGCCCCCCCCGGTGCCCCCTCCGTGCCCTCTCGGTGTCCCCCCGGTGTCACCCCCCACGCCCTGCCCCGGGCCCCGCCCCTCCGCGCGCGCCGGGCACACACCCTCGCGGCGCGGCCAATGGGGAGCGGCGGCGGGGCCGCGTCAGCGGGGCCGGGGGAACCTCCTCAATGAGCCCGATTGGCGCGGGGAGCGCGCCGCGCTGCCGGGGCCGCTCCGCACCGACCGCCGCTCCGCACCCTCCGCACCCGCCATGATCGCATCGCACCTCCTCGCTTACTTCTTCACCGAGCTCAACCATGACCAGGCGCAGAAGGTGAGGGGGGGAGGCGCAGCGCGGGACAAAGGGACCGCGAGGGTGAAAGTGGGGAGGGGGGAGGAAAAAAATAGAGAGGGAGGGGGAAAGGTGAAAAGGGAAAAGTGAAAAGGAGAAGAAAAAGAGGAAGGGGGGAAAAAGGGGGAGGAAGGACGGGAAAGGGAAAAGAAAAAGAAAAAGCGGGGGGAAAAGGATGGGTAAAAGTAAAGAAAAAAAACGGAGGGAAAAGGAGAAAGACAGTAAAGAGGAAAAAGAAAAGGAAAAGGGAAGGAAAGTGGAAAGGGAAATAAGGGAGGAGAGGAAGAAGAATGAAGGAAAGAAGAGAGGGGGGACAAAAGTTGAAAAAAGAAAGTATGTAAAAAGAAGGAGGAAAAAAGAAAGAGAAAGGTAAAAGTAGAGGAAAGCAGTAAAAAAGGAGGGGGAAAAACTGAAAAAAAAAAAGTAAATGGGAAAAAAAAAAGAAAAAAGCAAAAAGGGAAGGAAAAAAAAACTTTTAGAAAGGGAACAGGAGGCAAAATAACTCGAGAGCGGAGGGGAACGGGGCGCAGCGGGCCGGGCCGGCGGGCGGAGGCCCCAGCGCTGCCCGGCCGGGGCCGCGTGCGGTACGTGCCGCGGCTGCGGGACCCCGCGTGGCCGGGCGGAGGAGGAGGAGGAGGAGGAGGAGGAGGAGGAGTAGAAGGAAGGGGGGGATCTCCGTGTCTCTCCCCCGCCGGAGCCGCGACCCCCGCGGCCGCCCCGCGCAGCACGTGTCGCCGCTTCCCGCCGGCGCGGAGCATCCGCGGGCGCGGAGCATCCCCGGGAGCCGGTTCCTCCGTTCCCCCCCTCTCCCAGGGCAACCAGCCGGGGCCGCCGCGGGGAGCGGGGTCAGCCCGGGGCACGAGACCGGAGGTGGTACTCTCACCCTCCTGTTCCCCACTCTGTGTCCCCCCAGCCCAAACCTCGTGTGTCCCCCCATTCCTGCCCTGACAGCGATGGAGAGCACCTTCCTGTCTCCCGTTCCATTAATTCTGGGGTTCTGAATCCTTAATTTTGGGGTTATGAATCCTTAATTTCGGGGTCCTGAACTCCCCGAGCCTGTTCCCAGACTGCAACCCCATGCAGCAGCGTCCCGTTGGGATGCATGGGGTATTGGTCACCCCCAGTTCCTAAGTTCCGGCATTGGGAAAGCTCGAGTGTTCCTGTTCTCCCATGGCTGGTGAAACAGCCGGCCTTTGTCTGGCCAGGACAGCGTTTAGGCTGGGCTTAATAAATTATTCCTGGAGAAAAAATGCTGGATGGGAGAGAATGCAGAGGCTCAGGCTCTTCCTGCAGTGCTCCGCTGGTATCTGGGAATAGGGCAGAGGGGATTTCATCTGTGATTCCTGACACTGGGAAGCGCTCGGGATTTGCTGATGTAAGTGTGAGGTGGTCGGGCTTTGCAAATACTGCCATAAAAAAATGAGGAGGATGCTTGGARTGCCCTGGGATAACCCTGGAGATGCCACTGGGGAAGTGAAACTTGCCACGTTGGCCCTTCACCGGTGTTAAATAGGAAGGGAAAACAAGGCAGGACATTAAAAAAAAAAAAAAAACAACCCAAACGAAGTGCAGGGAAAACTTCCCGACGCAAAGYGATCCGTAAGGAAATACGGGCTCGGCTTCTCCCTCCGCTCGCCAGTGGCCCCGGGGTTGTGCAACAGCCAAATCCACGGGAAGGGGTTGTGTAACCCGACGGCAGAAATAGGCCAGCGGCACAGCCCGGCTCCGGGCTCCGGGCTGCTCACGCCTCTCTTCCTTATCGGGAGTGGGAATAATGGAGAGGGAAAGCTTGGATGGAGGAATTTGCCCTCCATACCCACTGGGAAAAGGGTGTGTGAAGCCTCAGCAACCGGCTTCGTTTCCGTCCTGGCTCCAAAATGCAAATAAAAAAGGTTGTTGAGATGTGAGGGAGGGAAAAATAAAATATCCAGGAGCCGCCRGCTGGAGCTCGGGATACTGTGGGAGAAGGCACTGCCCTCCCAGCCACCTCCACAACTGGATTKCTCTGGGATATTTTTAAACAAATTCCTGTGAATCCTCCCGGTGAGGCAAAGCTGGGAGAGAGCATGGAGCTCAGCTCAGCTCAGGGAGAGCAGGAAGAAGCCAGCTGTCCAACCTGGCTTCTTCCACCATGGTTGTAAAAATTATTCCTGGTTTATAAATGTCCCCTCGCAATGGGAAAAGGCCGGGGGGAGTCCCCCGGCGTAGGGGGTGAAATTCTTGGAAAGCTGTGATTTATTTAGTTGGGTCCTTCTATCAAACCCAGTATTTGAGACTATATTAGGGAAAAAAAAATGCAGGTGGTAGCCTGGGATGTGTTTTCCCTTTGGATCAGGGAGAAAAGGAACTCACCTGGGGTAAAAAATGTGCCTTTTTCAATAGTTTTGGTTTGTGTCCACCTCAAGACCTTAAAAATGGGATTTTTCTTCCCATTCTTTCCATGGAGCAGCTTTACCTGCTCTGCCACTCATCTGGGGGAATATTACCTTCATCCCCAACTCCTGCCCTTTTCCTGCCTGGAAAGTGGGTTGTCCAGACTTATCTAACCTCCAAGGGATTGTGCAAACTTTAATTAACCTCAGCAGCGTCCTTTGAGATCCCGGCTTGAAAGTTTGCCGCCGCTGAACCACGTTCCCTTGGGATGTGCCGGCTCACCCTGGACTTCCTTGTCCCTCAACCTCATCATGGGAGTGGGAGTCAAGTGTCCCTTCTTCCCCATTCCTCCTTCAAAAGAAGGAAAATCTAGGGATGGAGTTAATTTTCCTGCATTTGTGGCTGTTCCCAAACGGGGGCAGGTTTTGCTCATTTTTTATTTATTTCAGTTTTCTCTCTGCTGAGGGAATAGTTTTACCCAGCTGATTCCTCCCTGGCTGCCTCTGTGGATATGGGAGGGGCACCTATGGCAAATTCCTGGAAAACCAACGTAACAGCTTCCCTTAAGGCTTCTGAGRTCAGTGGCAGGAGCCAAGGTCAATGCCAGGGCAGTTTTTCCCACCTTTGGGATCTTCGGGAAGTCATCCTGTGTCCCCTTGCTCTTCTGCCCCTCATCAGAGCTACCTAGCCTCAGTTTCCCCTCCATGGTGGGATTCTCCCCTCACCCAAGGGGGAATTCTTGGTGCCAGAGAGGCGTTACCATCCAGCATCCAAATGGGATCTCTGCTCCAAAGAACCTTCCAGGTTTGAAGTGGGGGAGAAGGAGGATGGGTGGCAGGAAGGCACTTTGAGGGCTGGTGGGAGACAGGAGCAGTTGGATGTCTCCAATTCCAGAACTGGAAAAGCAGAGCATTTTCCTGATTAAAGTGGGCTTTTGTGGGGCTGTGGAGGAGCAGGGTCACTTAAGGATGGGTCGGTGGATGCTCCGTGGTGTCACTTCCTCACCACGGGTGCCTGGCTCCACCTCCGGCATGGATTCAGCTGCTGTCCCGGGGGTAAGGATGGGGAGGAACCTGCTGAGCAGGAAACATCTGACTCACTCGGGTTCAGGATGACTCCGGGCGTGTGTCATCCCAGGCTTGGCCGTGGCGGGGAGGGCACGTGGGCTCGCATTCGGCGTGGAGGAGCTGAAGGATGTGGGTGCCACCAGGGCCGGGGCTGGGGAGGGTGGGTGCAGCCCAGCATCACCCCTGTGTCACCCACGGGAGCTCGGGTAAGGGGCTGAGCCGGTTCCCTGCCCTGAGTCACCGCGGGTGGGACACAGCAACAAAGATGGGCAGCGCTGGTGTTTGGCGTGCAGGGACCAAGGACATGGAGCAGGCTCTGCCTTGAGACACAGAATAAAACCTTCTCAGTGCTGGAGGCCTTCACCCTGCAGCCTTTGCCTTGCTTTCCCCAAATTCATCACCTGATTCAGGGAACATGTCTGGTGCTTGCACAGCATACCCCTCCAGAGAAGCAGGGAGAGAGTCAGCATTCCCTAAACTTCAGGGATTCTTACAAAAAGAGCATGCTTGAAGTTAAAAACTGGGATAGGGAGGGAAGGAATTTAAAGAAAATATAATTCTCAGCAAAAATTTCCWGGGAGTGAGGGGTGACAGTGYGTGCTGTGGCTTTGGGGTGTTCCARCCTTCCCCAAAYGTGAACATTGYTYTGTCATCTCATGCATAACAAAGGTTTGKCTTTGTTGCCAAAAAGGTGAAGAATCTAGCCCAGAAAGCAGCCACCCTCTCCCCTCTGCTTTTGCACAAAAAGCTGCTGAAATTAGTCACGTCCGGCTGAAAAATGCAGCGGGGAGATGCTGGGGGATTGGAAACACGTGCTGCCACTCTAGTTCCTGGCAGCAGCATGGCTTTGGAAAACGACTGAGAGTGAAACTAAAACAAAAGGCGAACAGCTTCTCCTTCTCAGGACCTGGGGTCATTAACGGGAAAGACGTATCTGGGACTTTGCTGCCCAAGAACGAAGCTCCCCAGGCCCTTCCCCTTCCCCGCTGGGCAGGAAGCGGTGGCGCGGGGCCGGAAGCGTTGTCTTGCTGCAGCTTCCATCACCCGCAGCAGCCCTGTCCCGTGTCCCTGAGTGATGGGGACAGGGTACCCAGGACCCCTGCAAGGGCAGCACATAACCCAAGGAGTTTATAGAGCCCTGGAATGGCTGGAAGGGCCATTTGGGTTGGAAGGGACTTAAAGCGCATCCAGTGCCACCCTCTGCCATGGGCAGGGGCACCTTCCACTGTCCGACGTTGCTCCAAGCCCCAATGGTCTTAGACATTTCCAGGGATGGGGCAGCTTTTCTGGGCATCCTGTGCCTGGGCCTCCCTACCCTCAGAGGGAAGGATTCCTTCCCAATATCCCGTCTAACCCTGCCCTCTGGCAGTGAGAAGCCATTCCCTGTGTCCTGTCCCTCCATCCCTTGTCCCCAGTCCCTCTCCAGCTCTCCTGGAGCCCCTTCAGGCTCTGGAAGAGGCTCTCTCTGGAGATCCCTCGAAGATCTCCCTGGAGTCTTCTCCAGGCTGAACAGCCTCAACTCTTTTCTGTGGATAGTGGCATTGACTTGGAATTAAGTTATTTGAAGACAAATTAATATTTCCACAGCACTGCTGTCCAGGTTCCTTAAGAGAAGGCTTGAGGAGTAGAACAGTGTCCAGCTGCAGTGCTGATCCCTGAGCCATGAGTTTGGAAATCAAAAGCTGTTTTTTGAGTTGCTTTAAGCTCAGCACAGCTCAGCTTGGCTCAGCTCGGCTCAGGTCACACAGCAGCAGAAATTGGGCAAGTTGAGGTTTCTTCAGTCGCGGGGCGGACGGACCTTTCCCAGCGGTGGCCGTGCAGCCGAGACAGGCGACCCTGGGCACTTCTCCAGCATCCGGCCTGGAAATGAGCTGAGCCTTGGAGACAGCCTTGAGCCAAGAGATGGGGATTTGCTGGGGTTTGGTTCAAAAACGTGGCATTGAGCTCATTACACCCACAGCTACTCCGTGATCCGGAGCTTTAACACGATGTCCCAGGCTGGGGCATGCCCGGTGCTTCCCAGCTTCCATCCCTTTCTTCTCCCTTCAGTTTGTTTAGATTTCCTCGAGGAAACACTATTATTTAGGCTGGAAGCTTTCCAGAAATACAATTGCCCCCTTCAGGATCCCAACCTCGTGAGTTTATGTTTGKAATTGGCGATCTGACCTAAACTGTTCTGTGATCTTCACAAACGTTAAGCAACTGTGAAAGTGTTTTGTCTTGAAAGATGCTCAGACTCCGGCGCTGCAGGCTGAATTCCCCTGGTTTTATCCTGTCTTTGCAACAATTTGAGAGATGCTTGGAATGACAAACCAGGCCATGGAGCTGGGAAGCTTTGGCAATGACAGTGGCTGTGGCTCTTCCTTGGTGGGGGCCAGGCACGCCCAGGGTGGTGTCACCAGGGAAGGAGCTGTCCTGCTATACGCCCTGACCTGCCTTAGCTGCCAAGTGGGGCGATATCTACGTTGGGAGAAGATGATCCAGGTTTTAAAGGGCTTTGGAGATTAGAGAAAGGTCAGCGTGTTCCTCAGGCCGACAGTTATTCCTGGTACGCTGGAGCCTGGAGGACATGGGGGACGTGCTGAGTGGGGCCTGTCCTGGGGAAAGGAGGTGAAGCCTCAGGGTGGCTTCCCTGTGCTGGGATTTTTTGGGTGGGGGTCTTGCTGCTGAGGAGCATCCCAAAGCACCCAGCTTCTCTGGAGTGAGACCCTCCCTGGCAGGGGGAAAGCAGCAAGATCAGGGTGGGGGAGAAACACCAGTTTTGGTGGGGGTGGAGCTCTGTGGTGTTGTACCTCACTGCCAGGACAGGGACCCCATCCTCACTCCCAGGTGTCCCCAGTGTCACAGCACTGCCCGGGCCCCCGCAGCCTGCTGGGGACAGATGGGGCTGGGTGGGGTTCTCGCTGTGCCCAGGACAGGTCGGTGTCTCCCCAGGAGGTTGGGAAAGCTCTCCCTGAGCCGGGATAGCGCTCTGTGTCCTGGGATAGTGCTCTGTGTCCCGGGATAGTGCTCTGTGTCCTGGGATAGCGCTCTGTGTCCTGGGATAGCGCTCTGTGTCCCGGGATAGCGCTCTGTGTCCCGGGATAGCGCTCTGTGTCCCGGGATAGCTCTCTCTCTCCTGGGATAGCGCACTCTCTCTTGGGATAGCACTCCATGTCCCGGGATAGCGCTCTGTCCTGGGATAGCACTCTCTGTCCCAGGATAACTCTCTGTGTCTCGGGACAGTGCTCTGTCCTGGGATAACGCTCTGTCCGGGATGGCGCTCTCTGTCCTGGGATAGCGCTCTGTCCCGGGATAGCGCTCTGTGTCCCAGGATAGCGCTCTCTGTCCCGGGATAGTGCTCTCTCTCCTGGGATAGTGCTCTCTGTCCCGGGATAGCGCTCTCTGTCCCAGGATAGTGCTCTATGTCCCAGGATAGCACTCTGTGTCCCGGGATAGTGCTCTCTGTCCCAGGATAGCGCTCTCTGTCCTGGGATAGTGCTCTCTGTCCCAGGATAACGCTCTGTCCTGGGATAACGCTCTGTCCCGGGATAGTACTCTCTGTCCCCAGATAGTGCTCTGTTCTGGGATAGCAGTCTGTGTCCCGGGATAGTGTTCTGCCCCGAGATAATGCTCTGTCCCGGGATAGTGCTCTATGTCCCCGGATAACGCTCTGTGTTCTGGGATAGCGCTCTGTGTCTCAGGATAATGCTCTCTCCCGGGATAGCGCTCTGTGTCCCGGGATAGCGCTCTCTGTCCCGGGATAGCGCTCTCTACCCCGGATAGCGCTCTCTGTCCCGGGATAGCGCTCTCTCTGTCCCGGGATAGCACTCTCTGTCCCGGGATAGCGCTCTCTGTCCCGGGATAGCACTCTCTGTCCCGGGATAGCGCTCTCTGTCCCGGGATAGCGCTCTCTGTCCTGGGATAGCGCTCTCTGTCCCGGGATAGCGCTCTCTGTCCCGGGATAGCGCTCTCTGTCCCGGGATAGCGCTCTCTGTCCTGGGATAGCGCTCCATGTCCCGGGATAGCACTCCGTGTCCCGGGATAGCGCTCTCTGTCCTGGGATAGCGCTCTGTCCCAGGATAGCGCTCTGTGTCCCGGGATAGCACTCTCCCACCAGCTCACAGGCAAGAAAGGGGGTTGGACCGTCTGTCCTGGGTTGATGGCATCCACTGACAGCCCTCAGGCTAACCCTGGGGATAACCTTTGGCACAGCTCAAGGGGAGGTTTTGTACCTTGGGGCTGGCCCTGAGGTGAGCTCCAGCCCCAGAACCACTTYTTAACCAGTTAACTGGAGCTCTCTGTGCCAGTAACCAGAGCCTCAGCACATGGGAGGGAATTTTTGGCAGATGAAAGCAAACAGGAGGGGAGGGAGGAGAGTATTTGACTTCCTGCTGCTGGGGTGGATAAAGAGAAGCTGGTAAACAACTGGTACCAGGAAATCTCCAGATTTCCTTCTCCTTGACCTTTCCCTCATGTCTACCTGGTCTCCCAGCTCCTGATTTTGGGAAGGAGCTGAAAAGCACCAGAAGGAAGGGGGAAGRGGTTTTACCCCAGGGGATGCGGCATCACTCCTGGAATGTGCTGGGCTGGGCTTTCCTCCATCCTCTGACCTCACCAGAGGGATCTCACCTCCCAAATTTCCACCAGAGCTGGGGGTGGGGAAAAAAGGATGCACTGGAGCATCCTGAGCGTGAAACACAGGCAGCCAAAACCGCAGCAGGGCTGTTTTGTCTGGCCCAGGGTYGGAGCGGCACATCCGTGAGCGAGGTCACGCTGGGGCGGGTGCAATTACTCGCCCACAAAATGCCCATTTCCTCCAGCGTAGCCCCGTAAAGCACAATCCGAGCCCGGGTCCCGATGACCCGGTGTTACGTGCCTGCAGACAGGTGAGTGCAYGGGGTGGAGTTTTCCTCTTGACTTCTCACAGCTTGCAGCTGCCCTTTAATTAATTTTAAGTGAAGCTAATTGAAACAGGGCATCATTTGGGAGCGGGCAGTGTTGGCCTCTCCCGCTCCCTGCTCCGGACACGCGCGGTGCTGCTGGGTGGCTCGGGGAGGAGCTTTTCCATGCCTTTCCCAGGCAACACAGGATGCTTTGATGCCATTTGTAGAAGGGCTTCTCCATATCCCCAGCTCAAGGGTATGATAGTTTCCAGGAGTGGCAGGGGTGGATTTCTTCCCTCTCAGGCCACTCCAGCGTGGTTTGCTTGAGGGGAGCAGCTYTTGGCTCTTGGGGTGATCTCAGCTGTGGAGAAATGACAGGGCAGTGGATTCCTGATGAGCATCCTTGGTGCAGGAACAGGCCCTGGGAGTCAAGGTCAAGGTGTGTTGATGCTGTGGAATGGGAAGGTCTTTGCACCTGGAAAACCTCCGTTGCCAACCTCCCGACTCACTCCTGAGTTTGAATTCCTGCTTCTGTAGCAATCTGTTTGGGTGTCTGCAGGTGACTGAGTGGGAAGATGCTCTGGAGCATCAGGAGCAGTTCGTGGTTCAGCATTCCTGAGCTGCAGCAGTCTGGGAAGGGGATGCAGGGTGGGGTTTGGGGAGCTCCTTTGGGTGGGTGATGCCCGGGATGAGGTGTTGCAGCAGTGCTGGATGCTGTGGTACACCGGTGCTGCCGTGTCCTGCCCTTTGGGATGAGCCAGCACCTGCTCCAGGCCGTGTGAAGGGCTGGACGCTATCCTGAGCATGTCATGGGACCTGTGCCTGTGTCCCCAACCCTCCAGCTGACCATGGGGCTTTATCTGCACCTTTCAGATCGACAAGTACCTGTACCACATGCGGCTCTCCGATGAGACCCTCATGGAGGTGTCCCAACGTTTCGAGAAGGAGATGGAGAAGGGCTTGGGAGCAGAGACCAACCCCACCGCCTCGGTGAAGATGCTGCCCACCTTTGTCAGGTCCACCCCAGATGGGACAGGTACCGTGAGACAGGGGATGCTCCTGGGAGAGCAGAGGGAGGGCTGGGCACACCCTGGGGCTTTATCCTGCTCAGGCTGAGTGTGGGGACAGGCCTGGTTCCCTGCTCTGTGCTGGGACTGGAGGGGCTCCCAGTTGCTGCTGGGAGAGGGAGGAGGGAGGGAGGAGGGAGGGTGGGAAGCCGCCCTCGCGTGCCCTTGCTGGCAGGACAGAGACAGTCACGGGTCCGGCTCATCAGATTTCATTAGCAGTGAGGCGGCAGCGGTGCCAGCGCTGTCTGAGTGCCACCAGGGCCCCAGCAGGAGCAGGGGCTCTGCAGTGCTCACAATGTGGCCTTTCTGCCTCTCCCCGTGCCAGCAGAGCCGTGCTGCCCGCAGCACGCTCCAGCCAGCCACATCCTCCTCTCAGCCCAAAAAACTGCTCCTTCTCCTAGCCTGCTGTTTTGGGAAGGAGCTTGTCTCCATCCCTGCAGCGTCACTTCTTGCCCTCAGGACTCAYCAAGTGTTTGGAGCAGTTCTGGCTGCTGAGGGGAAGGAGGGAGGGACAGAGGGTGGAGCAGCTGAAGCTGCCCCAGTTCCACATCTGGGCTGGCAGCAGCCCCTGGAAAAGGCCTCAGGAATGGTTGGTTGTGGTGGATGGAGTTCCTTGGGGTTGGGGTTGCTGTGGTGCTACACCAGAGGGATCTGTGTGACACCTCGGTGGCAGAGGCTGCTGGTCACCAGCAGGAGAGGTGRATCAAGAGGGACAGAGCCCAAATCCCTCATGGACAAAAGTGATAGAACCATGGAATCRCAGAATCACAGAATCATGGAGTGGTTTGGGTTGGAAAAGCCTCTGTGTTGGTCAAATTCAACCACTCCCCAGGACTGCCAAGGTCACACTGACCCATGTCCCCACATGCCACATCCACATGGCTGTTAAAGCTCCCCAGGGMTGAGGATTCCACTRYTGCCCTGGGCAGCTGTGCCTTTCCATGAAGGAATTGCCCCAATATCCAACCTGAACCTCCCCTGGCCCAGCYTGARGCCATTRCCCCTTGTMCTGTCCCTGTTCCCTGGGAGCAGARCCYGAGCTCYCCCGGCTGYCCCCTCCTGTCTGGGATTTGTAGGGGGTGGCAGAAGGTCTCTGCCCCACTGGGCACTGTTGGGTGTTAGCTGGTGACATCTCAGTGAGGTTTGGGGGTGGTGCTGGCATCTCCTGCATCCCTGGGGAGAAACAGGGAATGGAATTCTGGAGCAACACCATCTGGAATGGTTTGGGTGGGAAGGGACCTTAAAGCCCACCCAGTGCTATCCCTGCCATGGGCAGGGACACCTCCCACTGTCCCAGGGTGCTCCAAGCCCTGTCCATCCTGGCTTTGGACATTTCCAGGGATCCAGGGGCAGCCACAGCTGCTTTGGGAACCTGTGCCAGGGCCTCTCCACCCTTGCTGGGAGGAATTCCTAACACCCAATTTAAATCTCCCCTTTTTCAGTTTTAAACCATTTTCCCTTGTCCTCTCACTGCAGCCCTGCTAAGAGTCTGTCCACCTTCCTTAGRAGCCACTTTAATCCTCGAAGCATCCCCTGATCTCGCCCCCTCAGCTGCACCTACACCCAAAAGCTGGACCTGGCTGCCTGCCCCGGGATTGAGATTCCAATCTATTTAAATGTTAGAGAATATTTTTAATTACAGGGATAGCCAAGAGCCACCCCTGGGCATGGGAAGTGGTGCAGCTGAAGGTGCTGGGTGCTGCTGGAGCGTGTGTCAGCACTTCCAGCACCTGACCCACTGCTGGGAGAAGGAACAGTCCCTCCCCATGCCCTTACAAGACACATCCTTGGCACCCTTCCCTGGATCCAGCTTCTCCAGTGTCCCAGCTGGCATTTGGCACCCAGGGGAGGGTGGAAAGAGGAATAGCAGCGTGGAAAATGTCACATGGCAGGGATAGTCACATGGCTAGGGTAGTCACAGCGCTGCAGCTGCTCAGGGGGGCTGGAGAATGTGGGAGTTTTGAGCAAATCCCAGGGGTTTGCTGGGATTCCCTGTCCAGCTTGATCTGTGTCCAGCCTCTGAGGGGCATCAGTGTCCCTTGGGTTTTGGAGCAGGGGCTGGAAGGTGGCATGTCAGGGCTGGGGCCTTGGTGCCAGATCCCTGGCCCAGATGGTGTGGCAGCAGCTTGGGAGCTCAATGTCCAGGGCTGTGCCCTTCCTTCTTTCCCCTTTTTAAAGCTCCTGGTCAAAGTCTGACCTGGGTTGGGCACCAAGCCCTGCTCCCACTGTCCCCAGGTGCCAGCAGCTGCTCCCAGCCCAASGACAGGCTTTTCCTCTGCTCCAGCCCTGCTCTGACCCAGTGCTGGTGCCATGGGGCTCCCAACCATCCACCTGTAGTGTCCCTGTCCTCCTTTTTCTCATTCTCCAGCCCCAGTGTCCATCCCTGTCCTCCCTCACCCCACTCCTGCAGCCCCTGTGTCCATCCCTGTCCCAGCCCCTGTGTCCATCCCTGTCCCCTCTGCCCCTGCAGCACCCTGTGTCTCTGGGATTTTGGGATTATGCCCTGTTTAATGCTCAGCTCCAGGGCTCCAGCAGGATGAGAGGTGCTTATGGACAGACAAGGTCACACCTGCAGGTTAAGCCCAAACACAGCCCTGGTTTTCTGTGGCTTTGCCATTCCAGTGTGATGCGATAAGAGRGGGGAATTCTGCTTTGGAAGCAGAAACTGGTCTGAAAACAACTTTCCTTGCTTTGCTGGGCTCTGGCACCTGCTGGAACACCACCATGCCATGCTGGCAATGGGGTGGTGGCAAAACAAACCCCAAATGAGCTTCTCCTCGGAGCCCCAGTGACTCTCCCAAGGGCTCTTCCTGCTCAGTGCAACCAACACCCTCCTCCCTGCTCTATTTCTGGTTTTTCCAGGCCTTTTCAGGCTCACCAGGTTTCCTCCTCCCCACTGATGTTGACACAAGGATCTTGTGGTGCATCCTCTGTTAAGCCYCAGCAGCTGATAACCGTGGTCTGGAGCTTTCAGGAGGATGCTGCAGGATTTGGGGCTCAAATCCTTGCAAATCTGAATGGTGGCTCTGGGCAGCACCTTTCCTTTGGCTGGTGGGCTCAACTCCTGCCAATAACTGGCTGCCTCTGCAGGAAAACCAGCTCATGTGGTCCATGGGCTTGAGAAGAATTGCTCTTTTCATGCCCAAAGTCCCATGGTTGAGGATTTACTGCATTCCCAGCAATGTTTCCCAAGAAAGCTGTGTCTGCCCCATCCCTGGAAGTGTTCAAGGCCAGGTTGGACAGGGCACAGGGCCTGGTCTGGGGAAAGGGCAGGGGAGTGGAACTGAATGGTCTTTAGGGTCCCTTCCAMYCCAAACCATTCCAYGATTCCATGAATCAGCTGGAGGGAGGGTGGGGCTGGCAGGGGGTGGCAGTGGGAAGTGYTGGGATCTGTGCCTCCACCTTCTCCTGCATCTCTCTGCAGTCTGAGCCTTCCAACCTTTTTCTCTTCCTCCTRTTTTTCATTAATCCAATTTGACAGAGAATTCCATGCAGTGGAATTGCAGTCGGTTGGAAATCCTGAGGCGGGGTCTCTGGGTATGATCCCACACACGCTGCTCTGCTCCCCTGGCCACCCTGCTGTGCCCCTCGTGCTCTTCCCAGAAGCACAGCAGKCTTTCCAGGCACTCAGCTCTCACCCTTTGCCGAGAGCAAACAGCCCCTGGAATCAGRGCTCCGTGTTTGCCCTCCCTGTTTGGCTTGTGGGCTCAGCACCAGGGCTGATACCTTATCATGGCCTGTGGGAGCCCAAAGCAGGGGGAGGGCTCAGACCTGGGGCCAGCCCATGGAGCCCATCATTCCCAGAATGGCTGGGAATTTTCCAAAAGAGGGTTCTCTGCCTTGTTCCTCCTGCAAAGTTGATCCACCCAGAATTCACCCCAAACTGCYCGTGCTCCTCCTGTGGTGCTGAGTGGGGTGTTGGGGGGTATTGGGGGCTGTTGGGGGGTGTTTGAGCTCTGTGGCCAGGGCAGAGCAGAGTTGGTCCCACACTGCCCGGGGGCCATGAGCCCCATGGAGTGGCTTGGATGAAGTTCCAGCTGTGTGAGGGCTGGCAGGACAGAAGGGTGGCCCTCTCGGGGCTCCTGAGCCCTTGTTTGGGATCCTCCTGGGTTCCCTGCGTTACCTCCAAGGAGCTGAGCAACCTGTGAGCCTCTTGGCTCCAGCTCCCTTATCCCTGGCATATTTATCAGCTCCCTGAGGTGCTTTCCATGCTCTGCTAACGAGCAGAATGAGCGGAACGGCCTCGGGTGCCAATGGCCGGGGAGGCAGGAGCATGGAGTGACCCGTGTGAAGGGCAGGACACGATGGCAGCTCTGCCCAGATGGGCATCACCTCCAGCTCTGCCCTGGACATCACCTCCAGCTCTGCCCTGGGCATCACCTCCAGCTCTGCCATCTGTGCCTCAGGGGAGTGCCTGTGCTGGGCTCAGTGGGGACAGCAGTGCAGTCAGGAGCCTCTCCAAGGCTTTCCTGGTGTGTTTTGCCCGTGAAGAGCTGTGGTGGCTGTGGCATGGCCGGTTGTGGCAGACAAGTTGTGGAATGAGCTGCCAGATTGGCTCAGACCCATCCCTGTAAAGGATCAGGGGGACCAGGAGGGAGGAACAGCCAGGGACTGACTGCCCCAGCACAGGGACTCAGTGCTCTGATGGCTCTGTGCTCTTCACTGGGGCATCTCCTGATCCCCCTGGGGTGATGTGATGCTCTGACCCTCCTTGGGTAATGCACTGACCCTTTTGGGTGATGTTCTGTCCCCTCTTTGGTGATGTTCTGGCCCCCTTTGGGTGATGTTCTGACCCCTCTTTGGTGATGTTCTGGCCCCCTTTGGGTGATGCTCTGGCCCCCCTGGGATGATGTTCTGTCCCCTCTTTGGGTGATGTTCTGTCCCCTCTTTGGGTGATGTTCTGTCCCCTCTTTGGGTGATGTTCTCACTCCCCTCTTTGGTGATGTTCTGGCTCACTTTGGGTGATGTTCTGACCCCTCTTTGGTGATATTCTGGCCCCGCAAGGTGCTGCTCTTATCCCCAAGTGCCCGCCCCATTCTCCATGCCCATCTCTGATCCCGTTGAAGCTGCACATGACCTCGGAGCCCTCTCATTCATTYCTCATCCCCTTGGAGCACAGCAGCCGCTTTCCACGGCCCTTCTCCAGCTCTGTAGAGCCTCTCCAGCTCCCAGTGGGTCCCGTGCCCCGTTCCCTCGCCCCAAGCCTGCCGAGGGTCAGTCCAGGAAAGCTGCCAGTCCAGCTGGAGCCCCAGGGGCTGGGCCGGAGCTGCCTTTTCGAGTCACTGGAGATGCCGGTGGCTCCGCTGGCGTGTGCATACTAATGACCCGCGGGTTTTGTTCCCACTGTGGCCCCTTTGTACCCGCATGGCCAGCACAAAGCGGCCCCCGGGCGCCGGGATCGGCCCGGGGGAGCCAGCACAGCACATTTAATGCATTCAGGACTCCAACAGTGCTGATAGAGGGCTTTCCCCAGCCCTCTCCCCACTAAAACAGCCAGCTGGGCGCTTTTCCCACTGCCCGGCTCCCGAATTCGGAGAGCTGCCTTGAAAACAAACGGGAGGGGAGACTCCAGGCTCAGCCCTTGGGGATCCCTTTGGAGAAGCCTTGTCCCAGCCAGCAGTTCTCCCTGGGGAAGGCAGCAGTGTGGCCCCAAAGGTCTTTTGGAGCTTTTCCCTTGCTGGTTCCTTGCTCACACCTTGCCGTGGGAGTGTGTGGGATTCCTGGGGCAGGGCACAGAGCATGGCCTGAGCACCAGGGGTTTCCATAAATCAAAAGTTTAGCCCAGCTCCTGGTGTTCCCACAGCTGCCAGCAGGGTTTAACCTCTTGGGACCCGGGTTTAGGAGCTGCCACAAGCATCAGTAGGGTCAGGAATGGCTCTGCTGCCTTCTTGCTTATGGAGCCTGAGGCTGCAGCTCATCTGCCCTGGTCTTGCTGTTGTTTTGAGCATGGGCTCTTYTGGATGGGGCTGGTGGGATTTATCCTCCTGCCACACCCTCCCCAAGGCACCTGCATCTGCTTCAACAATGGTGCAGTGATGCTCCATGGGCTGTGGGGTGCCTGAGGCACAGGGGAGGGATAGGGAATACAGACACAGCTCCAGTAAAATACCAAAAAATAGAATAATGAATGAAACAATGACATATATTATAAAATCAGACCTTATCCTTGTATCTGGGTGGGGGCTGGCTGCCTCAGGGTCCTGGCAGGATGTGAACACAGGACCCTCCATGCTGACCCGCTGTCCTTGTCCTGGTCCCACAGAGGATGGGGATTTCYTGGCACTGGACCTGGGTGGCACCAACTTCCGAGTGCTGCGGGTRAAGGTGTCAGACAACGGGCTGCAGAAGGTGGAGATGGAGAACCAGATCTACGCCATCCCCGAGGAGCTGATGCGTGGCAGTGGGGTGCAGGTGGGTACAGGAGTGTCCCAACCGTGTCCCGGTGGGGCTGGAGCAGGAATTTCTCACCATCCAAAAGGGGTTTGAATAGGACACCTTGAGTAAACAAGCAGTAACTACGATAAGAAACTTCTTGAAACTGTACTAGTACGAAAGAAATTTGTCACAGCTTACAAAAAACATGAAACTTAACTGCATCTTCCAGTGTCAGATTCCCTGTTGATTCCAGATACATAACCTGTTTAACCTGAGGTAATCTAACTACGTAATTTTAAAGTTCAGTGCTTGTCTTGAATACATCTTCAATGCATCTTTGATGCAACTGGATACGGAACAAAGAATTAGAATAGTCTTTCTTGAACACAAGAGCTGGAGAATGACAAAGAATGAAGGAGAATTCCAGAAAACTGGTGTTACATTTGATCTATATTTTTGTGAGAARCTKAAATGGACCAGATAATTCATTACCCACATCTCAGTTAAGGATAGCATAATGTTCACAGGAGAATTGGAATTGGTTCCWGTCACTTTTCACTTTATGATGCCCATCCCTGCCTGGGCCAGAGGGATTGTGCTGCATCTTTTTCCTGGAGCTGTGAATTCCTGGCAGCCAGCACGGCGAGGGGTGAGGCAGGCAGGGTACAGCAGCCCCTCGGAGTGGGGTGAGCTCTCACTCTTTCCCTTCCTTCTAGCTCTTTGACCACATTGCCGAGTGTTTGGCCAACTTCATGGACAAGCTGCAAATCAAAGACAAGAAACTCCCCCTTGGCTTCACCTTCTCCTTCCCGTGTCATCAGACCAAGCTGGATGAGGTGGGTCAGGGGCTSTGCTGGGGCAGGCTGAACTCTCACCCATTTAGCTCAGGTTTTTAATTAGGCTCCTTGATTTTGGGTCATGTGACCTTGCCTGCCACATCTCTCATTCCTGTAAAGACATTTCCCAAGCTCTGAGTGAAAGGAGCTTAAGAACAGCTCTGTCCCTTTATTTTTATGAATATGTTTTGTCAGTGCAATGACTCAGTGGTGCAGGGTCAGGGACAGAGGATGGAACATTCCTTCAGGGAATGCAGAGCTTGGCATCACTTCCCAATAACCCTGTTGCTTGTCATCTTCTCCAAACMCACTCTAAACCCCTTATTTAAAGGAAAACTAATGTTTGCTAAGGATATGTGCCAGGGTGCCTTTTTAAAAGCTGTTTGATGACAGTAACTGTGGTGGATCTCCTGTTTTAAACAGAACTGTCTGGATTTTCATAGGATCCTGGAGTGRTTTGGGTGGCAGGGACACTTTCCACTGTCCCAGCTGCTCCAAGCCCTGTCCAGCCTGGCCTTGGACAGTGCCAGGGGTGGAGCAGGCACAGCTGCCTGTGCCAGAGCCCCTCCCCATCGTGATTTTCTGAATTTTACCTGATTTACCTTAAGGGTTGTCCTGTGAGCTGTGACAGGGTCCCTGTGGCCCAGGGTGCCAGCGGGGAGCAGTGCTGACGGAGCGAGGGCCGTGTTTGGGGTGGCAGGGCGCTGGGAGGCGGCGTTTCCACGGGAAGCAGCTTTTCCCCAGTTCCCTGTCTGCAGCATCCTCTGGCAGCCCCGGGCAGCCTGGACGTGCCGAGCAGCACATCCCCACGCAGGCAGCGGCGAGGGGAGGGGTCCCGGTCCCCCTGTGGGCGCCGATGGCCGTCACTGTCAGCTCCGCTGCTGCTGCCGGGGGCCGTGACCTCGCTGGGAGCCGTGACCTCGCCGCCAGCCCCGACATCCCCCAGCCCAGCCCCGACATCCCCCAGCCCGGCCGGGCTCATGGCCCAGCTGCCACCCACCCCGCTCTCTCCTCGCCCCAATGTCACCCACCCCGCGCTCTCCTCGCCCCAATGTCACCCACCCCGCTCTCTCCTCGCCCCGATGTCACCCACCCCGCGCTCTCCTCGCCCCAATGTCACCCACCCCGCGCTCTCCTCGCCCCGATGTCACCCGCGGGTGGGCAGCGGCTCCATGGAGCTCCGCGGCTCCGGCACGTCCTCGCAGCGCCCGTGCCTCGGCGGCTCCGCGGCGGGGCAGGGATTAAGGCTTTCCTCCTGGAGCTGTAGAAAACATCAAAATGCAGAGGCTGCGGGAGGAAGYRTCTGTGCCCTGTGACCTTGCCCGARTCGCGTCTCTCYGTGCCTCAGTTTCCCCAGCTCTAAGGCAGGGCGGGTGTCTGGATCCCTAAGGGGGTTCTGGCCATAGGGTTGGAGATTTCAAATGGAATTGAGTGTTTTTCCTCCCTGCAGTGCTCAGCTCAGCTCCTGGCCGGGTGGCAGAGCTGGGGACACCCTTGGTACTGTGGGCCACAGGGAATTGTGAACCCCCCATCCCACAGGGACAGCTCAGAGGCCACCCCATAGGCACAGTGAGCCCCTCACCCCACAAGGATGGCTCAGGGGTTGTTCCATAGGCACAATGAGCCTCTCACCCCACAGGGCTGGGTCAAGGGGCATTCCTTAGGCACAATGAGCCCCCCACCCCGCTGGGATGGGTCAAGGAGCATTCCTTAGKCTTGTGAACAGGTTTTGCTCCAGGGCTCCATAAAACCTGGTCATGGGAACCTTATTCCTCCTGCCAGGGGAGCAACGAGCAGCTCACATGTTATTTCATGGCCATAAACTTTATCTGACACGGAAATGGTGGCTGATAGCGCAGCTGGTGAGCTGATAACGGGGAGCTCCCCCACAGGGCAATGTGTTCCTTGTACCAGGAGCCCCATGGCATGGGAGGTCTCACCTCAGAGCCTTTYCCCTCTCTGTTCCCCCAGAGCATCCTGGTGACGTGGACGAAGGGTTTTAAGTGCAGCAGCGTGGAGGGGAGGGACGTGGTGTCAATGCTGCGCAAGTCCATCAAGAAAAGAGGGGTAAGAACTGGGCAGGGGGGCTGGGGGCACATGGGTCCCTGGGACAGGAGATCTGGGTCCTGTGGACATGTTTTGGTCTGTTTGGTGCACCCTGGGTCACCCTCTCTCCTTTCTGCCATCTCAGGACTTTGACATCGACATCGTGGCCGTGGTGAATGACACCGTGGGGACCATGATGACCTGTGGCTACGATGACCACAACTGTGAAGTTGGCCTCATTGTTGGTGAGCTGCAGAAGGGGGAAGAGCTGGGGTCCGTCCAGGAATGCCAGAGGGGTATCCTGCTTCTTGCAAAGCTTGGGGTCTTTTGGGAAAAAAAAGAGAGGGCGATAACAGTGTTGGAAAACCAGCATTGCCCCGTGTTTCTTGGGTAAATTCTTCATTTTCTTTGGCGCATTGGGCTGCGGCCAAAGGGAAATCGGGGATAATGGGAATGAGCAATAATGGGAATGAGGGAAAGGCCGTGTCCTCGCTCACCCATCCCCACTCTTGGCCCAGGTACCGGCACCAATGCCTGCTACATGGAGGAGATGAGGCACATTGACYTGGTGGAAGGGGACGAAGGTCGGATGTGCATCAACATGGARTGGGGGGCCTTCGGTGACGACGGGGTGCTCAACGACATCCGCACCGAGTTCGACCGTGAGATCGACATGGGCTCGCTCAACCCTGGCAAACAATTGTGAGCACATTCTTGGCTCGGGCTCAGGCTCGTGGTTTGCTCGGCATTGTCYGTCCTCCTGCAGCACCGGCCTTCCTGGGACTGGGGAGGTCATCCCAGCTAACTGGGTCACCACGTCCTCTGCCACCGGGGCAGAGCGGGGCTGTGTCCCAAACCGGGGCTGTGTCCTAAAGTGAGCTGTGTCCCAAACTGGGGCTGTGTCCCAAACCGGGGCTGTGTCCCAAACCGGGGCTGTGTCCCAAACCGGGGCTGTGTCCCAAACCGGGGCTGTGTCCCAAACTGGGGCTGTGTCCCAAACTGGGGCTGTGTCCCAAACCAGGGCTGTCTGTCCCTGCCGCTGCCCTCATGAGCCCCTCCTGTGAACATGCCGATTCCTGTTCCCTTCCTGGCCAGCAAATTCATTCTCCAGCCCAGGCAGACACCCCYACCTAATGTCCACATCCCAATCCTACAGATCCCCCACAGGCTGCTGCAGCATGGGGGTGATCCCAGCAGACTGATTGAGCCCCTTGAGGTGGCCAGGAGTTCTCTTTGCAGAACCATGGCCCTGTCCACAYGGCTTCATATTCTCAATGATGGGATAAGCTGCTCTGGGAAGAGATTACCTGGATCCCATTTGGGATGGGAGCCTGCCAGGGGGTTTTCAGGCCAGTTCTGGCCACCTTGTGGTGACCACACACATCGCTTAGCCTGGAGAAAAGGAGGCTCAGGGGCAAAATTATTGYGGGATAGGAGAGATGTGGGTTGGATGTTAGGGGAAAATTCTGCTCCGAAAGGGTGGGTCAGGTGTGGCATGGGCTGCCCAGGGTTGTGTCACCGTCTGTGGAGGGGTTTGACAGCTGTGTGGATGTGGCACTTGGGGACGTGGGTTGGCCGTGCTGGGAAATGGCTGGAGTTGATAACCTTAGAGGGCTTTTCCAACCCAACTATTCCCTGATTCTGTCTYCCTGTGGACAGGTTTGAGAAGATGATCAGCGGGATGTACATGGGGGAGCTGGTCAGACTCATCCTGGTGAAGATGGCCAAGGAAGGGCTGTTGTTTGGGGGAAGGCTCACACCGGACCTGCTTACCACTGGCCACTTTGAGACCAGATTTGTTTCTGCCATAGAGAAGTAAGTGGGATCCAGGGGCTTTCTGGCTCTTAGCCCATCTCCTGATGTCCATGGATGGACCATCACCGAGCAAACACGGCAAAAACTGGATTCCCAGCCGTGAACCCCTTTTGTGTCCCTGCAGGGAGAAGGAAGGGCTGCAGAAAGCCCACGAGATCCTGAGCAAGCTGGGCCTGGAGCCATCGCACGAGGACTGCGTGGCCACGCTGCGCATCTGCCAGATCGTGTCGACGCGCTCGGCCAGCCTGTGCGGGGCCACGCTGGCCGCCGTGCTGCGCCGCATCAAGGACAACAAGGGAGTGGAGAGGCTGCGCTCCACTGTCGGCGTGGATGGCTCTGTCTACAAGAAACACCCCCAGTGAGCCTGGGGACAGGGGGACAGGGASAGGGGGWGTTGGGGGATGRTGGGGACAGCGAGGGGGAGAGGCGAGGTTGAGGGTGATGAGGATAAGGATGGAGGGGGGATGGTGGGGACAGGGAGAGTGATCTGGGGGATGGTGGGGACAGGGACAGGGAGAGTGATCTGCTCCTCCCAGCAGTGCCCAGAAGCACCTCCAAATAATCCCTTCGAGCTCTTTGTTTGGGGTCCCCAGAAAGTCACACTCATGTCCCCTCTTATCCCCTTCCACAGCTTTGCCCGTCGCCTCCACAAGACCGTGCGGAAGCTGCTGCCCGACTGCGAGATCCGCTTCATCCGCTCCGAGGATGGCAGYGGCAAGGGGGCAGCCATGGTGACAGCCGTGGCCTACAGGCTGGCTGCACAGCACCAGGCTCGGCAGAAAATCCTGGAGCCCCTCAARCTGAGCCACGAGCAGCTGCTGGAAGTGAAGGCAAGGATGAGGACAGAGATGGAGAAAGGGTTGGGCAAGGAGACGCACGCGGAGGCCACGGTGAAAATGCTGCCCACCTACGTGTGCTCYACTCCCGATGGAACAGGTGACGTGTCCTGTGTGACACCTCCGTGTGTCCTGCGTGTGTGAGCCCATGTGTGTCCTGCATCCTTTGCCGTGGCTCGTTCCCCTTTGTGGTGGGAGTGGCACAAAGCCCCAGTTTGATCCTGGGCAGAGCAGTGAGCCCCGGGACGTTCTGCCCCTGCCTTCACACAAAGCCTGGCTCTGGCTGTGGTTTTCCCCGCCGCAGGATTCTCCCCACCATGTCCTGGGCTGTGCTCCTGCTTCTGCCTGTGGTTTGGGCGAGCGCTTGACCTTGGCTTGAAGCTTTTGCAGCTCCTGTGCAGGGCCAGGAGCTGGACTTCAGTGATCCTTGTGGGTCSCTTCCAACTCAGGTTTATGATTCGAAGCCTCATCGTCACCCCAAGCCAAGAGCAAACCTCTCCATCGTCTTCCTCCCTGCACCCCCTGTTCCTACCTGCAGCCCCTGTCTTCATTCCCAGCCAYGTCTCCATTTCTACCCCTCTCCCTGGAAGAGGGCAGGTTCAGCTCTGCTCTGTGCCACATCCCAGATGCCCTGTGCAGGGGTTTCTCCTGATGATCCTCTCTTGGCTTGCAGAAAAGGGAGATTTCCTYGCCCTGGACCTGGGAGGAACCAAYTTCCGCGTGCTGYTGGTGCGCGTCAGGAACGGGATGCGGCGCGGGGTGGAGATGCACAACAAGATCTACTCCATCCCTGTGGAGATCATGCAGGGCACAGGAGAAGAGGTCAGGATGGGGAAAAGGGGCATCTGCCCTGGGGTGGCTGGAGCAGGGCTGACCATGGAGCCCTTTCCAGGGGGCAAAATCAGGAGTGGGGAAGTCTGGGGATCTCCTGCCCTTAGAGCAGTGAGTTGTGCCCAAGGCTCTGGAGCTTGGGAGGCTGGAARTTGGTTTTTAGGTTAGAAATGGTGTTATCCCAGACATGACTGAACCTCTCCAATCCCACACACTCCACAGGGGCAGATAAGCATCATCCTCATTTCCYAGATAGGGAAACCACAACACAAGCAGTGAGAGACATCTGGAGACACATTTGGAAAGAGTTCTGCAAACCACTCCAGGCAGTGCTTGGGGACTGGGAGTATCTCTGGCAGGCTGGGGAGGGCTGTGGGGATCCCTTGCAGAGGGACCGGATTCCCGTGGCACCTCCCCTCCTGGGCACTGTGAGATGGAGATAAGGCAGGGATTTGGGCACATTGTGGGGGAGGAAGAGTGTGAGATTGAGCTTTTAGAGGTTGCTCACCTCTTGTGGTGCAGCTGAGCAGTGTCCTGCTCTGTTCAAAGTCCTGGGAGTGATGTGAGCGTTGCAGGAGGTCTGGGGCTGGGTTGGATTCCCCAGCAGTTTGGGGGTAACCTCTCCRTGTGGGCTTTGCTCTTCCAGCTCTTTGACCACATTGTCCACTGCATCTCGGACTTCTTGGAGTACATGGGAATGAAGGGCGTGTCGCTCCCGCTGGGATTCACCTTCTCCTTTCCTTGCCAGCAGAACAACCTGGATGAGGTAACCCCACCCCTCCTGGCAGCACCTCCAGGATCCTGCCTGTCCCTCCCACCTGCTCTTGAGGGGGGCTCACTCTGGGTTTTTTCCACACCAGGGAATTCTCCTCAAGTGGACAAAAGGTTTCAAGGCGACGGGCTGCGAGGGAGAGGATGTGGTGGGGCTGCTGAAGGAGGCCATTCACAGGAGAGAGGTGAGCAGCCACAGGGCTGGGAGAAGCCGCTGCTCCCATATCCTGGCTCTCTTTGGCATCATTAATTGGCCTGTAAAACAAATTACTGGGCTGAGCTCAGGGCTAATGAGTGTTGGAATTTTCACAGCCGCCCTTACTCATCACTTGAGGTTGGATTTTCAGACCCTGGGGCTAAGRGCTGGCTCCTGGCCAGGGTTGGAGCAGGCTTGTCTGGCCCTGAGCTCAGGAGACACCGGTCCCTTTTCCTCAGCACAGACCACCCCGAGCTCCTGCCTGGGGGCTGCTCCTGGCAGGGCTGACCCAGCCCCTYGGCWGCTGGGGSTGTCTGAGCTCTGAGCYCTCCCTGCACACAGCTGGGGCTGTGGGAAGTCCAGGGGTGCATCCATGTCTGTGGAGGTGTGTGGTCATGGAGGACAAGGGGGAACAGTTTTAAACCAAAARAGGAGAGGTTTAGGTTGGATGATAGGAAGAAGTTCCTCACTCTGAGGGTGSKSAGGCCTTGGCACAGGGTGCCCAGAGAAGCTGTGGCTGCCCCTGGATCACTGCAAGTGTTCAAGGCCAGGCTTGACAGGGCTTGGGACAACCTGGGCTCGTGGRAGGTGTCCCTGCCAATGGCAGGGGKGGAACTGGATGAGTTTCCAGGTCCTTTCCAACCCAGACCATTTCATAATTCTGTGACTCCCATACTCATCAGACAGATAGGTCCTTTCCCAGCCATGGGAACAGACTTAGCAGGAATTCCAAGGAACTCCGAAGAACCCCAGGAATAACTTGTGCAATTCATCCCTCTGCAGGAATTTGACCTGGATGTGGTGGCGGTGGTCAATGACACGGTTGGCACCATGATGACCTGTGGCTACGAGGATCCCTACTGTGAAGTTGGGCTGATTGTTGGTGAGAACTGAAACCTCCTTGCAGGCTCCTGGCCCGTGGCCCCACAGCTGCCCCGTGGGGCGCGGGGCTGTCGCAGGGCTCTCAACCTGCTCCTCTCTGCAGGCACGGGCAGCAACGCCTGCTACATGGAGGAGATGAGGAATGTGGAGCTGGTGGAAGGGGACGAGGGCAGGATGTGTGTCAACATGGAGTGGGGGGCCTTCGGGGACAGCGGGTGCCTGGATGACATCCGAACGGAGTTCGACCGGGCYGTGGATGAGCTGTCCCTCAACCCCGGCAAGCAGAGGTGGGTGGTGGCTTTGTGGGGCTGGAGGGATCCCCAGTGAGGCTGAGGGTCCAGGAGCTGTTCTGCCCCACGAGCCCCTTGGTGGATCCAGGGGATGGTGGATCCAGGAGCAGGGCAGAGCCTGGCTTTGGGACACGCCGATGTCCCTTGTCCCCTGCCCCTGGTGGGGGCCGCACTGCTGGGCTTTGTGAATCCATGGTGCTGGAGGCACCTGGCACAGCTGCAATCCCCATCCAGAGCCCGTGTCCCTTCTTGTCCCTTCCTATCCTCATGTCCTGCCCTGCCCTCTGCRTCCCAGGTTTGAGAAGATGATCAGTGGGATGTACCTGGGCGAGATCGTCCGCAACATCCTGATGGATTTCACCAAGCGAGGGCTGCTCTTCCGGGGACGGATCTCAGAGAGGCTGAAGACCAGAGGGATCTTTGAGACCAAGTTCCTGTCCCAGATAGAGAGGTGAGGTCCAACAGGCAAGGGAGCACCAGCTGCCAATCAGAGCAGGGATGGGATTTGGAGGAAGTTCTCCCAGGGCTGGTGGGACAAGTTCCACGTGCTTGGTCTGGAGCCAGGATGATGCAGGATGGTGCCACGCTGATAAATCAGCAGAGATGAGGAGACTGTGGGGCTGGCAGCACAGATGGCTCTTTATCCTCTGCCCTGGGCACAGAGGGTCCGCGGGTTACAGGGGTGTCACACTCCGATGGCTTTGTCCTGAAATAGCCTCMCTGATTAGGATGTGACACCAGGCCACATCCAGCTCTGAAAGCTGATTGAAACGGGGCTGTAGAGTCCCCCCAGCCCCTGTCACCATGAGTCCCTGGGCTCTGCAGGGTTAGGAGGGGAAGCCACACATCCCAGCCTCCCCATCTCCATCATTGCCTGTCCTCCGTGTCCCCCCAGCGAYTGCCTGGCCCTGCTCCAGGTGCGCTCCATCCTGCAGCACCTGGGCCTGGAGTCCACGTGTGACGACAGCATCATYGTCAAGGAGGTGTGCACGGTGGTGGCGCGGCGCGCGGCCCAGCTCTGCGGCGCCGGCATGGCCGCCGTGGTGGACAAGATCCGCGAGAACCGCGGGCTGGACTTCCTCAAGATCACCGTGGGCGTGGATGGGACTCTCTACAAGCTCCACCCGCAGTGAGTGGCTTGGGCTGTGCTCTCGGGGGGCTGTGGGGGACACCTGCCCACCTTGGGTGGTCTGGGTGCTCAGGGGGGACGATGGTTCAGGGCTCAAGGGCTGCCAGGAGCTCTCTGACCCTAACTTGAGGCCCAGCAAGAGTCAGGCACTCCCTTAAAGGCCAGGGCACAGGAAGACAGGGAATGCAGCAATGACWATCCCACTGGACCTGACCCAGGTGTGGTGACCAGGTTCAGCCAGGACTTCAAGTCATGGGGGGATGAAGCAGCTCCAACCAGCCATGAACTGGATCACGAATGTCCATGGCCCCACAAACCTGTCCATGCCAGAGCTGGCAGCTGCTGCTGCTAGACAGTGGAGCTCAGGCAGGGACTAAAGTGTTGGGCTGAGCTTAAAGAGGGCTCARGAACCCATGGGCAAAGGGACGCTCTGAGAACTACCCCCAGGTGAGGCTGRTCAGTGCTGTTGAGGTTCATTAATGCTCCCAGAACTTGGTGGGACT